GCTCTTACATGAATATACATGTGCATGCTGTCAATTTTATAGAGAATCTTTACTTTTTTCATAAACAAGGGAGTAATGAGGGCTCTTTTAGCATTCAGGCCAATCTTTGATAGAAGTAATCTAAAACAACAACTTTAAAAAATTGCTTTTGCCTTAAGCTATAGTAAAAATATTTGGTGAAAGGGATTAGCTGTTTAAATTCAAATATATTTCAATTTTTAAGAAATTTGATAATGATGATGATTTTTGATATTTTTACCACAGCACTTGTATCCCCACAGACACACAAATTTTCCATCCTGCTGTACTCATTGAGATCTCCCTATCTCAGTATTTCTCACTGAGTTCTACCCATCTCAGTACAACTCATTGATTTACTGCTGAGATCAAAACAGGACTTGTAATTGATTTGTCTCCATGAATCCTGCATTTCGTCAGTCTTCAGATCTCTGGGTTCAGCTCAGAGAGCATATCTTGAATGCATGCACTTTTCCAACTCAAACAACTATGCACCACCCCCAAGTCCCTCTAATTATTCCTAAGCAAACTTCCCTGTGTCCATTGTCCCTTGCTGCCACCTGTCTTTCTGGCACCCATAGTTAATCATTTTAAAAATAGAGAATGCAACATTCAACCCCTTGATTAAGCTCTGCAATGGATTGCCTTTGCACAAGAATAAAACAACATTCCTGTCTCTCTATGAGCTCATGCCCACTATTTTCTCCTTGTGCACAACGATCCTGCCGCACTGGCCTACTTTCTGTTCCTCCAGGACACTGCCCTTTCCTGACTCAGGACCTTGTCTTTACACCTCCCTGCTCTTTTAACACTCTCTGCTAATCCTGCTGGCTCCTTCATCCCTCAAATATCTCTTCACATGACCCTGTTAGAAACTCCAATTTAGCATCTTTGGAAACCAAGGCCCTATCAATCAGTATTTTCCCCAAAGCTTGTCCGCATGTTCCTCAGCTAAAGGAGGGAATAGATCTATTGACCAATGGACTTGGGAAATGGCAAACTAAGCTCCATCAAACAGATTTCTTTATTGCAGTAAATGACTGCGTCTCAGTACTTAGTATTACATCTTAGTGCTTTGTTCTTGTGAATTTCTAGGAGAGAGGTATTGTATGCACTTTCCAGAGTTCTCTGAATGCTTTTGGTAGAGTTATCTCCACGAACTAGCCATCAGTGGCATGCCCTTATGTTTCATTTTTGTTATGCCCTTATGTTTCATTTTTGTTTCCTACCTAATAAAAGATTCTGCTTTTTAGAGCCAATTTATAGAAAATAGTCCTTTGCATAACAGACAGGATAGACTGATGGGTTGTATCAAAGCTCCATCTGATATATGAGTCAACTCAGTTGTTCATTTATTCATTACCTCACTCAGTAATTTCACACTCATATTTGTAGCCCAGGAAAGTAGCTATCAACTTAAAGATGACTGAGAAACAGATTTCTTGTCATTGCCATCCAGAGAATAGATATTAACAACTGTTTCCCCCCAAATTCTAAGAAGCTACTTTATGAACTGAGTTATGTTTTCTTCTAGATTTAGGTGATGAAATCCCACCCACCAGTACCTTGAACTACAACTGTAATTGGAGCTAGGGTTCAAATGAAAGAGATAAGAAAGTTATGAAGGTGCAGTCCAAATACAATAGGGATGTAAATCCTTAGGAGTAGAAGGAAAGATACCAGAAATACACATACACAGAAGGACCATGTGAAGACACACTAAGACAGCCAAATACAAGCTTAAGAAAAATAATCAAACCTGTTGACACCTTGATCTTGAATTGCTAGCTTCCAGAATTTTGAGCAAACAAATTTCTATTATATAAGCCACCCATCTGTGGTATTTTATTATGGCAGCCAAAGCAAATTAAAACACCACAGTTAATTGTTCATTAGGTCCTTGCCTTCAAGTGCTTTGCTCAGCTAGTTCTAATATCTACTGAGGCTTTATAATTTCTGTATTTGTATTTGAAAAGAATTTCATGAGAACCAACTTGATCATGAACCTCTTTAGGACAAGGCCTTTGTTGCATGTGTACATTTCCATACTGACGAGCTCAGTGTGTCTTCTATTAGTTCAACTCCTTCTGTGCATTAATAATTGAGAGATGGCCTAACACATCTCTTGGAGAGATCTAAAATTAAAAAAAGAATTTCAAAGTGCTGTGTACATAGATAGCAACTTAAAATAACTTATTTCACGTCTCTGTTTTGAGATAAATATCCTTCTCATTTTACAGATGAGAGACAGAGCTAGAAAGGTTAAATGAGTTGACCATGCCCACATGATCATGTGTGAAGCCAGAATTTCAATCAGGGTTTTCCCTTCCTCGGTTGGATCAAGTACAATGGACTAAGTACAATGTTTTTAAAAATTAAAGAAAGGATGCTAATTAAAGTTGCTTTTATCAATTGCTTAGGGGAAAAGGAAATATGGCTAAGACAGGACCCTTATGAAAAACAGTTGGAAGTTGTGTGGTGGTGGTTCACACTTGTGATCTTCAGATCTGAGAATCGTGATTTGAAGCCAACCCAGCTCAAGCAAAAAAGTTCATCAGAAGGGAGGTGTGGCTCAAGTGGTAGAGCGCCAGCCTTGAGTGAAAAATCCAAGCAAGAGCTCAAGGCCTTGAGTTAAAGTCCCAGTACCTGCACATAAATAATAATAATGGCAATAATAATAACAATAAACTGGAAATTTTTATTAACTATATGTTTATTTTTATGAGATTCTCATAGTGTCATGATTGTCAAAGTATAAGTAAAAATTATTATTATAAAGCATTATTGAGCCAAGCTCTGGTATAATCCTAGCTACTCAGGAAGCTGAGATCTGAGGGCTGGGGTTTGAAGTCAGCCTGGGCAGGAAAGCCTGTGAGACTCCTATCTCCAATTAACTATCAAAAAAGATGGAAGTGGAGCTGTAGCTCAAGTGGTAGAGCGCTAGCCTTGAGCACAAAAATTCAGGCCCTGAGTTCATACCCCAGGACTCCCACAAGAAAATTAATAATAATAGAAATAAAGCATTATTGAGCACTTACTAAACACCAAGCATTGCTCTTAACCCACATAATCTCGATATTTGGTAGGATTAGTGAAAAAAATTGAAAGTCAAAAGTCAAACAAGAATGGCCCAATAGCAGGGTTAGTAACATGGTCAGGGTGACTATGGAGAAAAAGGAAGGTGCTGAAAGGGTTAACTGGTACACAGGTGACAGATCTCCAATTGGTAGAGAGATTTAATCACAGGAAGGGAAATAGGCCTTAGTGAGCCTCTCCTCACTGAAAGAATGCCTCCATCCAGAAGTAACAGCTGCATTGAAAGGAAAACCAACTCAATTCTAGATCCTTATAAATAAGATTTTAGGATTCATAAACCTTACTGTCATCATTTTTTGCCATTGACACAATTGGGTAAGGAGCGGGGGTGGGGAGGGGCAAATAAGAATACTAATTCCCTCCTGGAACTAGAAAAAGAATTTCCCAGGAGAGAAACCTATCAGCTGTCATCACCATTTCCAAGAGGTCCTCACTAGGAAATTGCTCCATTTGAGCCTTTTTCTATATCGATTGTTTCGTAATTGCATTAACAAAATTCAGTCTCCAGGTTTCAAAGCCGATAATATTACTTATTTGGAAAGGATCGTCTATTAATTTTTGCCTCGTCCTTCATACCTGTCATTGAAGTAGGCATTAAGCAGAAGCTTCTTAAATTCAATGGGATGTGGTTGGGTGTTTTTCTAGTCTGGGATTGGGGTTTGGAAGAAGTGCCTATGGAAGCTGAGAGGCAGTGAGGACGCGATGACTGGAGGAGCTGGAGTAGATACCCCATTCACCAGCGCCAGAGTGCAGCAAGCTGGCGCGAGGGGCTGACCCGAGTCTCCAATGGCAACTCAGAGTTCCTGTGTGGAAAGGCTTGGTGAGGGGATCAGACCTACAGAGTGTGTCAAGAAAAGACACCGCAGTGAAGAGCGTGTGTGCGCGCGTGTGTGAGAATTATCCAGAACTCCACATTGTTTTTGACTGTGAACACTCCACTGACATGAGAAAGACATGGTAGCAAGAAGGGTGGGGGATGGTCCAGAGGCGATCCATCCAGCCCTTCCAAATACCGTGGGTCTTCAGATACTATCAACGTGCTCTGGGAGGAAGATGGTGGTGAGGATGAGGAGGATGGTGATGGTGGTGGTGGTGGTGGTGGTGAATACAACCCTTGGAAAAATAGGGCCGGGGAGGGTGACACGGGCGGGGACCCGGGAAGGATGACTCACGGGTGGGGGGTACCTGGGGAGGGCGCG